ATGGGGCAGTCTGCTTCTGTAAAGATTTACAGCCTTGGAAGCCAATGGGAATTTCTATGAGTCAGCATAGACTCAATGGCAGTGAGGGTTTTTTTTTCCTTTAATTCTTATCTTTCCATTAATTTCCTTAATTATTTATTCATTTGTGTTTTAATTTCTTTACTTGTCAGTTATTTGACTCAGGCCTTATGTTGGGGAATGAAAACCCCTCTCCGCCCTCTTGGAGCTGTCTATGTCAGGAAAGGGCTGTAATTCATTGGCTTAGATGCTGTTTCAGAAGACTATAAAATATGAATGGACATTCAGAGGAAGAATTTGCTTTGCCTGGCATGGCATCAGGGAGTCAGGAAAGGCTTCACAGAAGCAGTGACATCTGAGTTGAGTCTTGAAGGATGAGTAGGTGTCTGTTGGACTAAGAGAGAAAGGCCCTATGGGTAGAAAGAACAGCCTGGACAGAAGCTCAGAGCAGGTATGTTTTGGCTGGGCTTATGGGGGAACAGGGGAAGCCAGGAGATTCCAGAACTTGATTCTGAGGGCTGAGTCTGACACTGTGGGCCCTGTCTCCTGGTGGGTAGAAAGGAACATATTTCCTTAGAGGCTGGAAAGGAGGAGGAGCCCTTTGAACTCAAAAAAAATGTTGAGGACGTGGAGGCCTGGTGACCTGAGACCAGCTTCTGTCTTCTGCCACACGGAGGCCTGGTAAGTCAGACCTGAAGCTAATGCCTTTTCTTCTGCCAGGTGTTTCCTTGCGAACGCTACCTGCGGCGTCACCTGCCCACCCATGGCAGTGGGGGCAGGTTCAAGTGTCAGGTGTGCAAGAAGTTTTTCCGGCGGGAACACTACCTCAAGCTACATGCTCATATCCACTCAGGTGGGTGCCCCCCACAGATGCCCACCCAGCCATCTCCCCAGCTCCCTGCTGGCCCTTCCCCATCCTCCCTCACAACCCCTTCCCCACCCCTTCTCTCTAGCCCTTTCTCATCCTCTCCTGGCCCCTGACCCACCTGTCCTCCTTCACCAGCCAGGACTTCCTCCGTACCCTAGAGCAGAGGTGAGCCCCAGACATGACTGTCCCCTAAGAGTCAGCCCCCTAGAACCATTCTGGGCCCCTGAGGTGGGGCCACTGTCCTTGCTACAAAATTCCCACCCAAGCCCAGAAAAAAAACCCCTCCTTAGTTCCCTAGTTGAAATACAACATTTTATTTTAGTCTTTATACTTTTTTCGTTAGTAACTATTTTTTAAAATTAGGTTATTTTAACTGAAAAAGTAATGAAGTATTATAAAAATCCAGAGATTGAGAACATCTGAGGAGAAAATTCTAGGCAATACGAAAGCACATACAATGAAAATAAACCTCCCTCTCACTGCAGGGCACCAATCTGTAATATTTTTTCAATTTTGTTTTTCACTATGACCTGTGGTAAAAAATAAGCTATCTTGCAAACCAGTATACATGTATGCATCCACAATATATTGAAACAAAAGTTTTACAGCATAATGTTTTCTGTTCTATTCTGTTCAACTTTTGTTTTCAATTTTTGTTTTTAAAATAAATACCAACACCCCATGCCTCAACTTTCATCCAGACGAAAAGCCTCTAAAGTGAACAGTAACACCAGGGAGGTGATCACCCCTTAGCACAATCGACCAAACCAGATCAGAAGGGCAGCATTCGCCCAGGGATGCAGCTCAGAAGGCAGGAAGGGGTAGAAAGGAAGGTCTGATGGGAACGGTAAACACAGGACACGGGTTAAATGTGGAGAGCGCTGTTACGATGTGGGGATTACAGTCAGTGTCACAAAAACAATGTGTGTGAATTATTGAGTGGAATAGCAGTTAAATCTGCAGACTTTCACCCAAATCATCATTAAAAGTTAAAAAAAAAAAAATGCAACCAACAGGCTGCAACTTGCCGTTTACAGTTTGAAAAACACTTCTTTATCCTTCCCCAAATGTAATGGCTGTTTACAGGTTGCCGCTGATTGGACTCCAACTCATGGCAAGCCCGTGTGTGTGCCATAGGATTCTTTATTACTTATTTTTTGGTAGATTGCCAGGGCTTTCTTCCAAGGCACCTCTGGATGGACTCAAACCTCTAAACTTTTGGTTAACGGCCAAGCTGGTTAACTGCACCACCCAGGGACTGCAGACCGGCTGTTAACCTGGTGTTACTTTGTCTGTGGAGTCTCTGGGTAGGGCAAGTGGTTAATGCACTCAGCTGGTAATTGAAAGGTTGGAGGTTTGAGTCCAGGCAGTGACTTGGAAGAAAGGCCTGGTTATCTACTTTCAAAAAATCAGCCTTTGAAAACCCTGTGGAGGACACTTTGGCTCTGAAACACACGGGATTGCCATGAATTGGAGCTGACTCCATGGCAGTTTGTTCTTGATATTTTGTTCATACAACATGTTCATTTCTACAGATATGAGCACAAAATAGACAGTGTATTCTGTACCTTTTTGTTTTCACTTATCAAGGTGAAGGTGTTCCCTAACAACACCTCCTTTTTTCATAGCTGCAGTATTCCTCTGTCTGGATGAATGCTTCAGTTATTTTTCAGCTGTTAATTTGGATACA